TCCACTAGAGTCATCCACTCAATTCTAAGAAAGATCATTCTTTTCTCTATGCTTGATTTAATGAATCCATACCTGAGGAGCTGAAATCTCACGGCCTCCTCGTTCGTTTGAAGGTCACGGTGAACTTATGTAAGTTTCTCAGTGTCTTCATATGGGTTATATAACAGTGGCACATGTACAGATATTCATGTCATAATTCTGACACATTCCAGTTTAAAATAGTGGGGTTTCTGTTTGCACCACTTTGACTTTTGGACGTTTCCATCCCTCATATATGGATCGTGATTGTGTTAAATGGGTTATGAAGCTGTTTTCACATAAATGACATGGTTACATTTTTATATCTATTGGTTTAGTGAAGTGTTACAGCGATTTTACTGCATTTAAGAGGAGGTGAAAGCCCTTGTTAGAGGAACTTTGGTGGTTCTTCAATTGGAGAGGATCATTATGACATGCTGGTTTGAATAGATATTGGATGGCTGAGAACCGTCAATTTTGTATTAAAATATTTGTATTATTATTATCGGACTCTTGTTAGAGTATGTTGTGTATTTTACACAAACAATGTTCTTAAAGAATGCTCAATAAATAAAGACAACAGTAGTAGTAATCAGAATCAGTCTAATCAGATAATATTAATAAATGTATTTTTATTATTATCATCTGTAATTATCAGAATAAAAACTTCTAATAAGACAATATTTATGAATAATACTTATTCTCATTATTAGTCATTATTTTCAGAATAAGTACTTCTAGTGAGATAATATTTTTTAATAATAGTGATTCTCATTATTAATCATAATTATTGGAATATATACTTCACATCAGATAATATTTGCAAATAATGTTTATTGTCATTATTACACATACCTATTGGAATAAATATGTCTATTCAGATAATATTTGCAAATGATGTTTTTTTCTTATTATCTAAAATAATCAGAATAAATACTTCTACTCAGATAATAGTTAACAACGTTTCTTCTCATTATTAGACATAATGGAATATATATATAATCAGATAATGATTATAATTTAGTATTTTCAATACTCTATAATTATCAGAATAAAAACTTAGATAAAATTTATTGTTGTTTATTCTTATTATTATACATAATTTTTCGGAATAAATACTTCTAATCAGATAAAATGTATAAATAATATTTATTCTCTTTATCATCTATATACTGATTAGAATAAATACTTCTCAGATAATATTTAATAATGTTTATTCCATTTATAATACGTAATTATTGGACTAAATACTCAATCAGATAATATTTATAAATTATGTTTATTCTCAATTTCATCTATAATTATCAGAATAAATACTTCAATAAGATAACATTAATTATTATTTATTCTCACTATTATACATAATTTATTGGAAAAAATACTTTTGATCACATAATATAAACTTTATAAGTAAAGTTTATTCTCATTATCTATGATTATCAGAATAAATACTTCAGTAAGATAATATTTGTTATTAATAGCTATCCTCATTATTTTAATATTAAACAGATAATATTCATATTTTTCGAAATCAACTTTCTTTAAAGGACATTTTTATTACATTTATAGCAGTTTCTACTAATTTAGCTGTGCTTATGTTTAGAAGAGCATGCATACTATTCCTAAAGTACAGTATGTACTGTATAGTGTGCCAGTATCTACTACATTTGAGAAAATGTGCAGAATATGACACTGCATCCCAGAAAGCATTGTGTTTGACCTTCTCCAGTGTAATGAAGGAACCAGTTGTGATTTTTAGCAACGCTTTCTTGTTTAATTGCTTGTATTAAAAAATTAGACATGCAAACCTAATATTTTTCTGAGATGATAACTGGACTTTGAAGTAAACATGCAACATGCATAATTAAGTCACGTGGCAACAATGTAGCATAATACTGTATGAAATGTATATCGATGTAATGATACATACTGTATCACTTAATATATATTTTTTAAATAGTAGGCCAATCTTCTTTTGTTCTGGTAACCTTAAATATGATATAGTATATTTGTATTTCCCGGCATATCAAATGCACCTGTGATCTTGATGTGCAGCAGATGCATGATGAGCTGATGCTCGTGTCAGACTCTCTCTCTCTGGCTGGTTCACGCAAAGAAAGAAGCGGATTAGAAAGGAACAGACTCGAGTGTCCTGGAGTGAAGGCGTGTATGTGAGATCACAGCCTGCAGCTGCAGAATCCTCCATCATGAGGTTTTGTTGGACTCGATGAAGGAATTAGTAGCGATTACTGAAGGTGTTGCTGCTCCACTTTGCCAACGAGGATCATGTTGTAGCTTCCGGGTTTAATGATTGAGAATGAAGTATCAAAACAACACAAATATATGCAGTCGGCTATGTGAGATGATAAAGTGTGTTCTGCTGGCAGTTTGAAGAAATAGTGTCGAGTATTATTCTTGCAAATCTTTTTTAGTTTTTGGAAACTGTAATATGACTTGGAGCTTTAATATGGCAGAAATATATAATAAACTGATCTGATGAGCCTATAATGCAAATAACTATATTTTAATCTCTAAAAGAACAAATATACAGTAAAAATTAGTCTAATAATACAAAGTTCCTAAAACCTAAAAACCATCAGAGAATCAGCTTCTTTATTTAAAGGAGGTTTTGGAAAAATAATAATTGAAAATAATAACAATTAGTATCATTTATAAATCTAAGTTATAATTCTGATAATAATGTGAATAAACATTATTAATAAGGATCTGATTTAGAGGAGTTCTCTATTCTTATAATTATGGATAAATAGGAGAATAAATATTAGTAAATATTCTCTAATTAGAAGTATTAATTCGGATAATTATGGATAATAATGAGATTAAATATGATCTGACTCCAAGCATTCGTTTAGATAATAATGTGAGTAAATATTATAAATTAATTTGGTTTAATTAAAGGTATTTATTCTGACAATACAGATAACGATGAGAATAAATATGAATAAATATGGTCTAATTAGAAGTATTTCTTCTGATAATTATGGGTAATAATGAGAATAAATATTATGAGTTAGATATTTTCTGTTTAAAATAATCCTGATTACTATTATATGAATCATTATAATTATTTATTGATCATTCTTAAGAACATTGTTTATGTTATATAAATATAGAACATACTCTCACAACAATAATAATAATAATGATGATATTTGAATACAAAATGGACATAATTAATGGTTCTCAGCCATTCATTATCTTTTCCAAGGCCTAAAAAAAGAAGAAGAGGTTTTAATGTGGATGACTCCTGATGTTTCTCCATAGAGGACTAACAGTCTTTATGTTCATGTTCATTGTTGTTGGCTGACACATGTGTTCCTTCAGGTCCTGTAGTGCAGCCTCATTTTTCTGGGAATGCTCGCCTTTCCCAGAACCTTCCCATTTTTTCAAATAAAGCTTCCTCTTTCCTTACTTTCTTTTGTTGCTGTTCTCGTATTATTCTCCTGCTTCTTGTTATTATCCATCGCTTTTCTATTCTGTTTTTTGTTCTTTTGCTCTTCTTCTGTTGTTTTTGGGAACACCTTAAACTTATGACTTATTTCTACATCTTAATTATGTGATTTTGTCTAATGCCAAATGAATAGTTTGCACAAAAAGGAATTATTTTGCAGAATATTCACTTCATCTCTACTTTACTATGAAAACTGAATGTGATTTACAGTGAAAAAAACAAATTTCAAATTAATGACATTTCTGAGCAGAAAATCTAATGCTCTGGCATCATAACCAACAATAAATCTACAATAAACAATTAGAATTTAACAAATTTTTAATATGTTTTATTGGTAACACTTTACAATAAGGTCTTATTTGTTAACTTTTAGTTTAGTTTTAAATGAGTTAATGCATTAACTGAGATGAGCAAACATTGAGCAATATATTTGGAGAGCATTTATTAACCTTTATTAGTTTTTAAAAAATGTTAATGTTCATGTTATTCACAGTGCTTTAATGTTGTTAGTGTGGAGAACAAGCCCCCAAAATAGAGATATTCTGCTAATCACATTTATTAAAAATATAATGTGCAAAGCAGAATATTTATGATTTTTATATATTTTTAAAACATATATTTATTATTAAAAGGTCAGTGTGGAGAACCAGCACAAAAAATAAAGAAGTTTCTGGTGACCAAATTATTTTAAAATATTAGGAAAAAAGTGCAAAGCAGAAAATTCCTGATTTTAATACTTTTAAAATATATTTATTATAGATTAAAATGTCAGTGTTGAGAATAAGCCACACAAATAAAGTTTTCTGGGGACCAAATTAATGTAAAATAATTTTTTTTTACTTTTTAAATGCGGAGATGGGCACAAATACATGAAACAAATGAATTGAAACAAATGAATACAAATACAAAATAATGTGTGGAAAAATGTATTTAAATATAAATACAAAATACTGTGTGGAAAAATGTATTTAAATGCAAATACAAAATACTGTGTGGAAAAATGTATTTAAATGCAAATACAAAATAATGTGTGGAAAAATGTATTTAAATGCAAATACAAAATAATGTGTGGAAAAATGTACTTCAATGCAAATTACATTAGATTTTTTTTTTCAAACACTTTAAAATACAAAAAAGTATTTTGTATTTCAAATACGCATTTTAAATACATGTATCTGAAATACTGCCCATCCCTGTTATAATGTATATTTATTATGGATTAAAAGGTCAAATATTAGGAAAAATTACAAAAAAGTGTGTAGAACAAGCCCAAACACAGAGGAAGTCTTGCAAATATCACCTTTTAACAATTTTAAAAAAATAGGAAAATTACACTAAATAACAATTAAACATTGAACGCTATTATTATCAGCCCTTTAAAATAGAACAATGGATTTTTTTTTCTTTTAAAAAATCACCTGGGATACAGAAAAATCCCCCTGACATGATTCAAATAGTCAAACATGTCAGTGTGAGTGCTGCACTGTCGCCTGGTGTCCAGCAGCGGTCGCTGTGTGCTCAGTGACGCTCTGGTGGACACTGATGGCGTGCACTGAAGCAACTGGTGCTTAAGACGCGTTCGCATCGACAACAAGCAAACAACGAGCGACATCGCGCTGACGCGGACGCTAGAGGATTAACGCGAGTTTGAACGCGTCGTTTGGAGGTTTCCAGAGGAACTGGAGGAATATATGAAGCGCATCCTGAAGTTTTCGTGAGGAGGAAGACGGTCAGGTCAGTGTGTTTAGATCCCGCTCGTTTAAAGTCTCTGGAGAAATTGACACGCGTCTGAGAAGAGACTTTTACTGCAGGATGACGCTTAAATGTTTAGTTTTTAGGGACATGTGATACATTGTATCGTTGTGTTTGTGTATCATCGAGCTTTTGTATCATCGCGTTTGTGTCATTGTAACATTGTAACAGTCTGACTGATTGTGTGTTACTGTATCATTGTGTTTCATTGGATCTGTGTCATTGTGTGTGTGTGTGTGTGTGTGTGTGTGTGTGTGTGTCGTGAACAATCAAACCAGTAACATTTACCTCGAGTGACAGAGAGGTTTTGGTATTTTCTGTGGTACACAGGTGAGATCCAGCCTGCATGTCACATTCTCGTGTTTAACATTATTCTGTGTGTAAAAGAAAATAAGTTGCCGTCTGTCTTGGCATATGCCTTAATGACGCCAAATATAGTTTTACTGTCAACCAGTCAAAAGTGATGACGCACTCGACTGAATTTAATATTAAAGTTTATGCTGAAATATTTGAAATTGGTTTGTAAACAAATAAAACATAATAAATAATAAATTGTTGTCATTTGCATCACATGTTTTGATCACTACATCATTCCCATACATCCATATGTCTTATTTCATAGACTTTATTATTGTTCTAAAACTTTGAAATTAAATATAACAATGGGTGTGTCCAAACTTTTGACTGTAAAGGAGTTTTTATTGTTTATTTAGCCTTGTTTAGTTTTGCTTGCTCAAACAAGGGCAGTACTGGGGCATTCTTCTGGGAAGCCGTAATTACAACATCAGATGTGTTCAAGTCATTTTGGTTGGAGCAAGATGGCGATGTAGCTTTTCTACAAAAAAAAATATTTCATGCAATTTATGAAGGTGCTGTAATTTGATTTATGCATTGTTTTCTACAAGAAAATTCAGCAATATTTAAAATTTTTAAACATTTACATGTATTTTTATTTTTGTTTTTATTCAATTTACGAAGGTGCTGTAAATTGATATATATATTATATCCTAATTGTACAGTACTATCATATTTTGTACATGCAACTTAGCTAGTTTTATTATACCTGGAAAAAATATATATAATTGTATTAATTACATCAAATTTACCGTCAATACAGATGCTGCGTCTTTTGGGTCTACCATATTTTTTCTCACGGACTACTTGGAAATTCAGGGCTTCAAGAAAGTTCAGAGTTTTCGTAATTCTAACTCTGTGATGACGCTCATGTAGGATGACCATACATCCTCTTTATAGATCCCGACGTATGGTCATTCTAGTTCATGTGCATAAATACGATCTTTCTGACTGCTTGACTTGAACGCACCAAATTTCCTGAGCTCTTCAGTGACTGATTGCATTTTGTATGCAATTTTTTTGTGTGTTGCTGTTTAATATATAGCATTTTGTATCAGTTTGTTTGTAAATATGGTGCATGTGATCATAACAGCAGTGTTGGCGGAAACACATTACACGTAACGTGAGTCACGTAATCTGATTACTTTTTCAAGGAACTATTAAAGTAATACATTACTTTTTAATTTACAAGAAAATATTAGTTACTTTTCCAAATAAGTAATGCCAGTTACTTTGTTGTCTGATTTATTCGCTGACAGCTCTCCTGTCCCTGTGTTGAGAGAAATCAGGAGTGAGTGCAGAGCATGATGCTTACTGTAGTGCTAGGCTAAATGTGAACATGCATTTACTCATATCTCACTCGCACAAAACAGAGTCAGCATTCCTCAAAATGAATAAAAACAGTCAAATGCAAACTCAGAATATGACGCAAATCAGCAATAATTAAATGTTAACACAAATATGCTTAATGTATTTAATCCCATTTTATTAACCAATGTCTTTGCTGCTGATGTTTGATGATCCAATTCAACCATACTAATAAGCAAAAATGACCTTAGATAAACATTTGTTTCTTTTTATTTATTTATTTATTACCGAAGAGTGTTTTCCTGTGTCCTATTCTTCATGCAATCCAGAAAGGTTTGTTTGAGCTGCGCCCTCTACTGTACAGACGTGAATTTACATTTTCTTCAGCCTGAGGCTTAATCATTTCACTTTAGGTCTGAAAGGGCTTTTACATTTGCCAAAAATAGACCTTTTTTATATTAAAAACAAACAAGCAAGCCCAGCCCAGATAAGTAATGCAAAAGTAATGTAACGCATTACTTTCTATAAAAAGTAACGCAATTAGTTACTTTTTTAGGGAGTAGCGCAATATTGTAATGCATTCCTTTTAAAAGTAACTTTCCTCAACACTGCACAATAGTTTTCTGAATCTTTCTGTCGCCATGCTGATAATCATCTTTCATCTCTACTCTTTTCAGTTGGCATGTTGGATTGTGTGTGCATGCTGTCTGCTGTACAACATCATAATTTTCATCCCACCTGCATGCTACTTCTGTGTGCCAACCATTAATGCCATCATGGGTGAACACTGTGATGCCACTAACCCTCCCACTCTCTCCTCCAAGAAGCGCAGCAGCAGCAAGCGTGATTCCGTTTCCGATCCGTGGCGGGACGTGGAGCGTCTCCGCGCGGCGTTAAAGGTGGAGCGCAGCCGCAACCAGCAGGCTCACCGGCGCTTCTCTCTGGAGCTGCGGAGGCAACGTGAGGAGGCGCGAGAGGAGCGGGAGCGAGCGTTGAGGGAGCTGACCTACCGACACGAGCAGCAGAAGACGCTGGAGCTGCTGAGGCAGCGGGAAGCTCTGGGCCGGGAGCGTGCGGCGGAGGTCCGGCGTTTGTTGAGCTGGCGGAGTCAGGAGTTGAAACGTAGCGAGAACTTGACGCTCAGGCAAACCCAAGAAGTGCATCGTCAGCTAGCAGATGAGATCGCTGGTAGATCGGCGTTTCAAGGTCTCAAACTTGGATGTAAGGGCAACGGGGCGGCGTATCGCAAACTCCAGGAACTCTTGAAGACTCTGCATGCTCAGGCAGATGGACAGCAGGTCGCTGTCCTTCAGCTTCTCCAACAGGAAGTGGAATTAGAGAAGAGCTACTTCCTGTGCCACCTGCTGGAAGCCCACAGCGGGACGTCCCGCGTTGTGAAACGATCCAGGCAGAGGTCGAAGAGTTGCGTGCATTTGCTCCTGCAAGGCCAAAACCACCCGGAATCCTGTAAGGAAAGAAAACCCACTCTATTCCGCTCTCATTCGCTATCCCAGACATCCCGAAGTGAATCTCCTCAACCTATGAAGAAGAAAAAGAAGCAGAACTGCGAAACGTCTCCTCTCAGCTCATCTCCAACCGAGGAAGAGGATTTATCTGAGCCGTGTTCATCTGATGAAGGATTGGAGAAGTGCTCACCATCCAGATGTTCAGAAGACAATATGGATGATCTGGTAAGAACTTTGTTTATGGATTTTTGTTGTTTCCTTCTTCAGGGCTGTCCTGAATGTTCCTATAAGTGCTCAAGCTGGATTTCATGCATTGTTGTGTTCAGAAATGTGCCATAATTTTTTACTTATTACAAAGATGGTTTGCATTTTCTGCATTGCTCTCAGTTTTCTTTTTCACATGCTGTCATTATGCAAATCCATTCACAATCAGGTATTGAAAAGGCAGTATTTGCAAGTGTTCGTGTACTTGTGAAGCTTGAAATATATACTTGTACAAGCTTGAAATATATCCAGCTGTGTTGAATAATATATCCGAATATGGCAACTCCTGAAAACGAAATACGCCCAGTATTTTTTGGTTTGGTTTTATATATGCACTACCATTTAAATGTTTGAGGTCAGTAAGTTAAAAAAAGTCAAGGCTGCATTTATTTGATTAAAAATACAGTAAAATCAGTAATATTGTGAAATATTATTACAATTTCAAATAAGTGTTTTCTACGTGAATATATTGTAAAATGTAATTTATTCCTGTGATCAAAGCTGAATTTTCAGCATCATTACTCCAGTCTTCAGTGTCACATGATCCTTCAGAAATCATTCTAATATGCTGATTTGAAGAAACATTTATTATTACTATCAGTGTTGAAAACCGTTGTGCTGCTTCATTTTTTTCAGGATTCTTTGATAGAAGTCTTTTGTGACATTATACATTTCTTTATCACTTTTCATCAATTTAATGCGACCTTGCTGAATAAAAATCTTACTGACCCCAAACATTTGAATGGTAGTGTAAATTTAGCATTTTTGCACCACTGTGGAATTGTTTGTGTGCATTTGTGTTGGTTTATCAGAGCTTGTATGGTTGTCCTTCCACAAATTTTCCTCAGCTCACACGTCCTGCAAACAGAATTTTATTCTGAAGCTTAATCAGCTTTTATTGGTGCAGTTTGGAGAATCTGGCATTAGATCAGTCTAGAAAAGCACCTCTTAAAAAGAATCACTTGGCACATTTCTGCAGAGCTGCTGAGTCTTCGGCCTTCTTTAGATGTGATCGATTGTGACTGTGAATGCAATCAGTCAGGAAACGTTTCCTAAACAGTCACGTCAACTTCACTGCATTGCTGCAAACATGTTACTTTTTAGTTAACATATTCTTTAACATTCCCTTTGGTCTTTAAAGGAATAGTTTAGGGCTGCACGATAAATCGAAATGGAATCTAGATCGCGATTCGACAGAAGCTGCGATTGTCATGCAGGGCTCTACGCTAACTTTTCTTTTTAGGAGCACTTGTGCTCCTAACTTAAAAAATTTAGGAGCACGTTCAAAATTTTAGGAGCACCTTCTAATCAATAATCCAAAATTTTATCAAAAATTTGCCTTCCCATTACGAGGTGATATTTGACTCCTTAAAGTGATTAACAGTGGAATTTTGTTTTTACCTTTGTAATGGCATTTTTCTAACTTTTAATAAAGTTAGTCATCTTTTGTCAAATTCTTTAAAAATTATATTTTATAAGCTTTTTAAAAATTGTAATTAAAACGACAGAATAAGAACAAGTAGAATATCACAATAATCCACAAGTAATCCACACCACCACATCAGAGTCTTCAGAATATGTAAAAATCTAGTTTTATTGTGTAATGCAAACCATGAGGAGAGAGTGAGTGAATGGTCTGCTGGTGCTATGAATAATTCAGAGGTACAGAGAATAACCATCTACTGCCACTGTGAAACCGCAGACTAAACTGTGTTGTTCGGCCCTTAGAATTAATGTACTTGGAGAGAGACGGATAGTGGCTAAAAGTTGAACTTTTGGACATTGGCGTTATGTTTATGCACTGAACAGTTTTGCAAGGGCTCTTATGATGTTTAAGCTCTGGATTATGGGATCTTGGTTCAATGAAAGCAAAGCACCAATTGTTTCTGAATCGAATTCTCAGTTGGCTTGATTGTGTCACTCACAGGCTGCATAACAGTGATTAAGCTCAATGCGTTCATTTTCATCTTATATAATGATGATTATGTGCACGTTTCAGGTCTAGAGACTTGATATCGGCATCTGATTGCAACTGCACAGTCATACGAATCAGAAAGACATTTATTAGCCAGTCTGTGTTTAATGAGAAATTAGGACTAATAAACAAAAGTATAATTAATGTATTAAAAAAACAGTTTGAGGGCAAAGAGTTGCCATTTCTGTATTTTAGTTTATGTCGTATTTATTAATATTTAGAATTTTCAGTTGAAGTTTTAGTAATGTTGTTGCTTTTGTCAATTTTATTAGTTTTATGTATTCTAATCTAGCTTCTAATTAGCTTTCATTGATTTTTACTTCAGTTTTAGTAATTTTAGTGCTTATTTTATTTTAGTTAGTCGAAACAAGGCAATGTTTTTAATTTTCATTTATGTACAATTTTCATCTAACATTTATATTGCATTCTACTTCAGCTTTATTTCAATGAACGAAAACAATTAATAGTTAATAGTCAATAGTTTTAGTATTAGTTAACTAACAATGCTTCTGTAGCATTGTAGTTCAGTTTAAAGTAGTTCTGATGAAGAAAAATATGTTTTTGCTTTAAATATATGTTAAAAAAATTGAAGTTGTGGTAATTTAGAGAAATAATTAGGTGGGATCATAAATAAAGTTGAGAACCTTCACTTATGGAAGTTTGTTTCCATCACAGGATAAAAGATAATAAAAAAGGTAATTGGACTTTATCTCACAATTCAGACTTTTTTTTCAGAATTTATATCTCACATTTCTGTCTTTTTTTCAGAATTGCAAGTTCAAAACTCAGATTTGCGAGATATAAACTCAGATTTAAGATATATGAACTCAGAATTGTGAGATAAAAACTCAGATTTGTGAGATATAAAGTCAGAATTATGAGACAGAATGTCAGATATGTGACGCATAACGTCAGAATTGTGAGATATAGCTTTGCAATACTGGGGGAAAAGTATGAATTATGAGAAGTTGCAATTAAATTTTTTATTTTTTTATCACGTGGCTGAAAAGGGCTTCCATACTTACTAGTGCATCAGTTTATGAATTATTGTCTGTAAGCGTTTGGCCTGTAGAGCTTTTAGTGTTGAATAAATATCTGATGTTCTCTGAAGGATGCTGGTTCCTGAGCTCTGAAGGTGGTGTTATAGCAAGTGCAAATCAATGTTGTCCACTGACCTTTGTGACCTGCAAGCAGACTGCAGTGGCTCCATTGGGGTAAAACGGTAATGGCTCAGATATCTACATGAAAACTGAGGTCAGAAAAGGGCTTCTCTCAGGTCTCGCTTGATAGCCTTTTGGAGCTTTATGTTAGGAGTTTGCACAGATCAGACCACTAAACACTGCGACTGTGGTCTGAAAAATATCAAGCATATGCAGAAATGCAAATAATGTGCTCTGAATGTGTAGACGGCTTCATTTCAATCATTTAGTGTTTCTTGCAGTAAATATAGACAGCTACTAATGAATTCATTAGGATAATGTGTATATTTGTGTCTGTGTTTGTGGGAGTGAGCGATTGACTGAGAGACTGTTTAAATGAGTTGGAAGTTTATAGTCATTTAATTTGAAACTGTTAATGGCATGTCTGTCAGAGAAACTGAAGGATGCAGCCACACAAGTGAATCACATTACAGGAGACAGTTGATGGTTAATTAGATCGTTTTTGGTCATTAATGTCTCTAATTGTGTACTGCCTACTCTTGAGAGAAATAGCATGTGAAACAGCATACAATAAGCAGTGATAAACATTGAAAGAGTAGTATGCTTCATGTTGTCACTTGACCTCACTACGTTGCATGTTTAATTCAGCATTTAATTTAGCATTTTATCCATTTTTGTGGCAAAAAAAAAAGTTAAAATATTGACAAAAGACCTAATATCACATCTGGTTCATGAAAATGCAAGGTCAGGCTTTAGTGCGTTGCATTTTGGCGAGTGTAGCTCATTTGCGTATTTCATATTTTCAGAAAATGTGCATGCATATATTTAATTGTGCATAACTGCAATGTTTTCAATATGCAACTGTGCATAAGCGTGCATACTGTATTCTGCTTCTTTTAAAAGTAGTTAAATAATAAAAAAATTAAAAAATAAATAACCTATGTGTTTTGATGCTACGAATCTTTATGTGAATGACCAGATCAAAAGAAATAATTAATGTGTGATTTGTCAGTTTAGCATTGTGTTCATGCATTTAGCATATTTCGAATGTACACTAGGCTTGACGCGATAGACGGTGCTGACGGTGATACCGGTGTTAAGCCGCAACACCGGTTACGTCACTTGCCCTTTGAAAGTGAAAGTAAACTGCGCACGCCGCTTTTAAGCTATTTAAAAGCGAAGGAAAAGAGGGAATGCCCCGCCCCCACGGTGATACCGGTATTACCGGTGTTGTCACACGTCGATTAACCGGTGGGAAAATGTCCTCACCGTCACAACTCTAATGTACACACATTTGTTTTGAAACAAAGCAGCGTGATTAATATCATATGACATGAACTGACAGCATTATGTTAATCTGATCTGTTTAAGAAAGACTTTAAATAGCCTTGAATATACTATGGTATTATAGGTATGCTCTGCAGCTGGTGGGATATAAGAAGAAACTGACACATGGTGAGTGTGTGTGTGTGTGTTTATTTGAAGAAATATACACTACTGTTCAAAAGTTTGCTAAGATTTTTAAAATATTTTTGAAAGAAGTCTCTTCTGCTCACTAAGACTGCATTAATGTGATTTAAATACAGTAAAAACACAGTAAAATTGTGAAATATTATTACAATTTGAAATAACTGTTTTCTATGTGAATATATTGTAAAATATAATTTATTCCTGTGATGCAAAGCTGAATTTTCAGCATCATTACTCCAGTCTTCAGTGTCACATGATCCTTCAGAAATCATTTGCTGCTCAAGAAACATTTCTGATTATTATCAATGTTGAAAACAGTTGTGCTGATGAATGTTTTTGTGGAAACTGTTACATTT